TCGAACCTCTTTCTGTCAGACCCAGGTGCGCGAGGCACCGGACGCCAGTCCAAGGTTCTCACAGTCACTAGTTTGGCATGCATGGCTTAGCCTCTGAAACAAGCATATGGCAGGATCAACCAGGCAGTTGTTTTGCACACATATGCCACATATACGTCTCTCTCTCTGTGTAGCTAATACTCGATTTTTCAGTCATGTCGGACTTTATGGAACCAAGCACGCGTACACACTGTTCCAAAAGATGAGAGCGCTCAAGACTGTCAGAGATATGCACGACACCCTAGCAGCCAGAGCACACTTTAACACTCTCTTTCTGCACTTGAGAGCGCTGTAATCTCGCAACAATTCTGCGGGTATCCAGAAAAGTCCGCGGGATTTGCATCCACAAAGTTAAGTATCTTTTAGCCATTTATAATGATCCTTCCGCAGGTTTACCTACGGAAACCTTGTTACGACTTTTACTTCTTCTAAGTGCACCAGTTCGAACCTCTTCCCGTCAGACCCAGGTGCGCGAGGCAACGGACGCCAGTCCAAGGTCCTCACAGTCACTAGTTTGACATGCATGGCTTAGCCTTTGAAACAAGCATATGGCAGGATCAACCAGGCAGTTGTTTTGCACACATATGCTACATATACGTCTCTCTCTCTCTGTGTAGCTAATACTCGATTCTCTAGTCATGTCGGACTTTATGGAACCAAGCAAGCGCACACACTGTTCCGAAAGGAGAGAGCGCTCAAGACTGTCAGGGATTTGCACGACACCCTAACAGCCAGAGCACACTTTAACACTCTCTTTCTGCACTTGAGAACGCTGCAATCTCGCGACAAGTCTGCGGGGATCCAGAAAAGTCCACGGGATTTGCAACCACAAAGTCAAGTATCTTTTAGCAATTTATAATGATCCTTCCGCAGGTTCACGTACGGAAACCTTGTTACGACTTTTACTTCCTCTAAGTGCAAGAGTTCAAACCTCTTTCCGTCAGACCAAGGTGCGCGAGGCACCGGACGCCAGTCCAAGGTCATCAAGATGTGTATAAGAGACAGTGGCAGGATCAATCAGGCAGTTGTTTTGCACACATATGCCACATATACGTCTCTCTCTCTCTGTAGCTAATACTTGATTCTCTAGTCATGTCGGACTTTATGGAACCAAGCAAGCGTACACACTGTTCCGAAAGAAGAGAGCGCTCAAGACTGTAAGGGATATGCACGACACACTAACAGCCAGAGCACTCTTTAATACTCTCTTTCTGCAATTGAGAGCGCTGAAATCTCGCGACAAGTCTGCGGGGATCCAGAAAAGTCCACGGGATTTGCAACCACAAAGTCAAGTATCTTTTAGCCATTTATAATGATCATTCCGCAGGTTCACGTACGGAAACCTTGTTACGACTTTTACTTCCTCTAAGTGCACCAGTTCAAACCTCTTTCCGTCAGACCAAGGTGCGCGAGGCACCGGACGCCAGTCCAAGGTTCTCACAGTCACTAGTTTGACATGCATGGCTTAGCCTTTGAAACAAGCATATGGCAGGATCAACCAGGCAGTTGTTTTGCACACATATGCCACATATACGTCTCTCTTTCTCTGTGTAGCTAATACTCGATTCTCTAGTCATGTCGGACTTTATGGAACCAAGCACGCGTACACACTGTTCCGAAAGAAGAGAGCGCTCATTACTGTCAGGGATTTGCACGACACCCTAACAGCCAGAGCACACTTAACACTCTCTTTCTGCACTTGAGAGCGCTGTAATCTCGCAACAATTCTGCGGGTATCCAGAAAAGTCCAAGGAATTTGCATCCACAAAGTTAAGTATCTTTTAGCCATTTATATTGATCCTTCCGCAGGTTCAACTACGGAAATATTGTTACAATTTTTACTTCCTATATAATGATCCTTCCGCAGGTTCACCTATGGAAACCTTGTAACGACTTTTTCTTCCTCTAAGTGCACTAGTTCGAACCTCTTTCCGTCAGACCCAGTTGCGAGAGGCACCGGACGCCAGTCCAAAGTCCTCACAGTCACTAGTTTGACATGCATGGTTTAGCCTTTGAAACAAGCATATGGCAGGATCAACCAGGATGTTGTTTTCCACACATATGCCACGTATACTTCTCTCTCTCTCTGTGTGTAGCTAATACTCGATTCTCTAGTCATGTCGGACTTTATGGAACCAAGCACGCGTACACACTGTTCTGAAAGAAGAGAGCGCTCATGACTGTCAGGGATATGCACGACACCCTAACAGCCAGAGCACACTTTAACACTCTCTTTCTGCACTTGAGAGCGCTGTAATCTCGCGACAATTCTGCGGGGATCCAGAAAAGTCCACGGGATTTGCAACCACAAAGTCAAGTATCTTTTAGCCATTTATAATGATCCTTCCGCAGGTTCACCTACGGAAACCTTGTTACGACTTTTACTTCCTCTAAGTGCACCAGTTCGAACCTCTTCCCGTCAGACCCAGGTGTGCGAGGCACCGGACGCCAGTCCAAGGTTCTCACAATCACTAGTTTGACAAGCATGGCTTAGCCTTTGAAACAAGCATATGGCAGGATCAACCAGGCAGTTGTTTCCTTATGTCTCGCTGTCTCCTTATGTCTCGCTATGTCTCCTTATGTCTTGCTATGTCTCGTTATGTCTCCTTATGCCTCGCTATGTCTTCTTATGTCGTCTTATGTCTCGCTATGTCTTCTTATGTGTGGCTATATAGGATTATAATAGTCTGTATGAAAGAAATTGTAGGAAGCCGTAAAGTACAAAACGGGCGTACCGTTTTCGTGCGGGAAAACGTTCCCGTCGTTTAATTTAACGGTAAATAACCGGCCACTATAATGCCGGTGGGAACGTTTTTTTCACGGTCGATTTTCTAACAGTGATATAATCACGCGAATATTCCTCAGAAGTGAAACAAACGGAAATCTTTCTTCAAAGTGAAAGAACGTCTTCAAGTGATCAGACAAGTCGACGACGGCTGAATGGGGATTGGAACCAAAAGAAAAGTTACACCAGATATGGTCAAGTAACGAGAACGGGCTAATGGGGTTTTGGGGAGAGATTCTGGTTGGTTTGGTTATAACTGGCTAAAAATTGCTACACAGAATTTCATGTATCAAAAAATTGGTCGAGCATAAATTAAGATGGTTGTACAGATTTATATTGAAGTCCCACAAAGAATTGTTTTACTAGTCCCGTTTATTTTTGAAAGAACCTCGACTGAGAACAGTTCATTGAAGGTTCGAATGCTATTGAAGGGTGGTCTATAGATGCAAAAGTTAGATAGCTCAAACGCAGGTAAGCAGACACATAAACTGAAGAGTTCATACTCATTTTTCACCCAAGATAAATCATTCAATATTAACCCTCGCGCTGAACTTTTCATTCACGTAAGCAGTTATACCTCCCCCATGGCAGTTGCGACAAATATTATACATGGAAAAACCAGGAATATCAAATTATTATTATTAAAATTATTAAAATACGTAGTCTGAGTTTGGACTCAGCCAGGTTTCCGTTAGAAAAATGATAGTAAATTTAAAATTGACTGAGCTAAAAAAACCATGAATTACCGCAGGTTCACCTACGGAAACCTTGTTACGACTTTTACTTCCTCTAAGTGCACCAGTTCGAACCTCTTCCCGCCAGACCCAGGTGCGCGAGGCAAAGGACGCCAGTCCAAGGTCCTCACAGTCACTGGTTTGACATGCATGGCTTAGCCTTTGAAACAAGCATATGGCAGGATCAACCAGGCAGTTGTTTTGCACGCATATGCCACATATACGTCTCTCTCTCTGTGTAGCTAATACTCGATTCTCTAGTCATGTCGGACATTATGGAACCAAGCACGCGTACACACTGTTTCGAAAGAAGAGAGCGCTCAAGACTGTTAGGGATTTGCACGACACCCCAACAGCCAGAGCATACTTTAACACTCTGTTTCTGCACCTGAGAGCGCTGCAATCTCGCGACAAGTCTGCGGGGATCCAGAAAAGTCCACGGGATTTGCAGCCACAAAGTAAAGTATCTTTTAGCCATTTAGAATGATCCTTCCGCAGATTCACCTACGGAAACCTTGTTACGACTTTTACTTCCTCTAAGTGCACCAGTTCGAACCTCTTCCCGTCAGACCCAGGTGCGCGAGGCAGGACGCCAGTCCAAGGTCCTCACAGTCACTGGTTTGACATGCATGGCTTAGCCTTTGAAACAAGCATATGGCAGGATCAACCAGGCAGTTGTTTTGCACACATATACCACATATACGTCTCTCTCTCTGTGTAGCTAATACTCGATTCTCTAGTCATGTCGGACTTTATGGAACCAAGCACGTGCACACACTTTTCCGAAAGAAGAGAGCGCTCAAGACTATAAAGGATATGCACGAAACCCTAACAGCCAGAGCACACTTTAACACTCTTTCTGCACTTGAGAGCGCTGTAATCTCGCGACAAGTCTGCGGGAATCCAGAAAAGTCCACGGGATTTGCAACCACGAAGTCAAGTATCTTTCAGCCATCTATAATGATCCCTCCGCAGGTTCACCTACGGAAACCTTGTTACGACTTTTACTTCATCTAAGTGCACCAGTTCGAACCTCTTTGCGTCAGACTCAGGTGTGCGAGGCACCGGACACCAGTCTAAGATTCTCACGGTCACTAGTTTGACATGCATGGCTTAGCCTTTGAAACAAGCATATGGCAGGATCAACCAGGCAGTTGTTTTGGACACATATGCCACATATACGTCTCTCTCTGTGTGTAGCTAATACTTGATTCTCTAGTCATGTCGGACTTTATGGAACCAAGCACGCGTACACACTGTTCCGAAAGAAGAGAGCGCTCAAGACTGTCAAAGATATGCACGACACCCTAACAGCCAGAGCACACTTTAACACTCTCTTTCTGCACTTGAGAGCGCTGCAATCTCGCGACAAGTCTGCGGTATTCCAGAAAAGTCCACGGGATTTGCAACCACAAAGTCATGTATCTTTAGGCCATTCTTAATGATCCTTCCGCAGGTTCACCTACGGAAACCTTGTTACGACTTTTACTTCCTCTAAGTGCACCAGTTCGAACCTCTTCCCGTCAGACCCAGGTGCTGTCTCTTATACACATCTAGATGTGTATAAGAGACAGCGCGTACACACGGTTCCGAAAGAAGCGTGCGCTCAAGACTTCAGGGATATGCACGACACCCTAACAACCAGAGCACACTTTAACACTCTCTTTCTGCACTTGAGAGTGCTGTAATCTCACGACAATTCTGCGGGGATCCAGAAAAGTGCACGGGATTTGCAACCACGAAGTCAAGTAACTTTTAGCCATTTTTAATGATCCTTCCGCAGGTTCACCTACGGAAACCTTGTTACGACTTTTACTTCCTCTTTCTGCACTTGAGAGTGCTGTAATCTCACGACAATTCTGCGGGTATCCAGAAAAGTCCACGGGATTTGCAACCACGAAGTCAAGTATCTTTTAGCCATTTATAATGATCCCTCCGCAGGTTCACCTACGGAAACCTTGTTACGACTTTTACTTCCTCTAAGTGCACCAGTTCGAACTTCTTTCCGTCAGACCCAGGTGCGCGAGGCACCGGACGCCAGTCCAAGGTTCTCACAGTCACTAGTTTGACATGCATGGCTTAGCCTTTGAAGCAAGCATATGGCAGGATCAATCAGGCAGTTGTTTGGCATACATATACCACATATACGTCTCTCTCTCTCTGTGTAGCTAATACTCGATTCTCTAGTCATGTCGGACTTTATGGAACCAAGCACGCGTACACACTGTTTCGAAAGAAGAGAGCGCTCAAGACTGTCAGGGATTTGCACGACACCCTAACAGCCAGAGCACACTTTAACACTCTCTTTCTGCACTTGAGAGCGCTGTAATCTCGCGACAAGTCTGCTGGGATCCAGAAAAGTCCACGGGATTTGCAACCACAAAGTCAAGTATCTTTTAGCCATTTATAATGATCCTTCCGCAGGTTCACCTACGGAAACATTGTTACGACTTTTACTTCCTCTAAGTGCACCAGTTCGAACCTCTTCCCGTCAGACCCAGGTGCGCGAGGCAACGGACGCCAGTCCAAGGTCCTCACAGTCACTAGTTTGACATGCATGGCTTAGCCTTTGAAACAATCATATGGCAGGATCAACCAGGTAGTTGTTTTGCACACATATGCCACATATACGTCTCTCTCTCTGTGTAGCTAATACTCGATTCCCTTGTCATGTCGGACATCATGGAACCAAGCTCGCGTTCACACTGTTCCGTAAAAAGAGAGCGCTCAAGACTGTAAGGGATATGCACGATTCCCTAACAGCCAGAGCACACTTTAACACTCTCTTTCTGCACTTGAGAGCGCTGTAATCTCGCGACAATTAACGACTTTTACTTCCTCTAAGTGCACCAGTTCGAACCTCTTTGCGTCAGACCCAGGTGTGAGAGGCACCGGAAGCCAGTCCAAGGTTCTCACGGTCACTAGTTTGACATGCATGGCTTAGCCTTTGAAACAATCATATGGCAGGATCAACCAGGATGTTGTTTTACACACATATGCCACATATACGTCTCTCTCTCTTTGTGTGTAGCTAATACTCGATTCTCTAGTCGTGTCGGACTTCATGGAACCAAGCACGCGTACACACTGTTGTGAAAGAAGAGAGCGCTCAAGACCGTCAGGGATATGCACGACACCCTAACAGCCAGAGCACAATTTTACACTCTCTTTCTGCAGTTGAGAGCGCTGTAATCTCGCGCCAATTCTGCGGGGATCCAGAAAAGTCCACAGGATTTGCAACCACAAAGTCAAGTATCTCTTAGCCATTTATGCCGCAGGTTCACCTACGGAAACCTTGTTACGACTTTTACTTCATCTAAGTGCACCTGTTCGAACCTCTTTGCGTCAGACCCATGTGTGCGAGGCACCGGACGCCAGTCCAAGGTTCTCACAGTCACTAGTTTGACATGCATTGCTTAGCCTTTGAAACAAGCATATGGCAGGATCAACCAGGCAGTTGCTTTGGACACATATGCCACATATATGTACGTCTCTCTCTCTGTGTAGCTATTACTCGATTCTCTAGTCATATCGGATTTTATGGAGCCAAGCTCGCATACACTCTGTTCCGAAAGAGGAGAGCGCTCAAGACTGTCAGGGATATGCACGACACCCAAACAGCCAGAGCACACTTTAACACTCTCTTTCTGCATTTGAGAGCGCTGTAATCTCGCGACAATTCTGCGGGGATCCAGAAAAGTCCACGGGATTTGCAACCACAAAGTCAAGTATCTTTTAGACATTTATAATGATCCTTCCGCAGGTTCACCTACGGAAACATTGTTACTAGTTTTACTTCCACTAAGTGCACCAGTTTCAAACTCTTTCCGTCAGACCAGGTTCGCGAGGCACCGGACGCCAGTCCAAGGTTCTCACAGTCATGCACATCCCTGACGTCAGACACTGACTGTGCATGACATGCATGGCTTAGCCTTTGAAACAAGCATATGGCAGGATCAACCAGGCAGTAGTTTTCACACATATGCCACCTATACGTCTCTCTTTCTGTGTAGCTTATACTCGATTCTCTAGTCATGTCGGACTTTTTGGAACCAAGCATGCGTAAACACTGTTCCGAAAGAAGAGAGCGCTCAAGACTGTCAGGGATATGCACGACACCCTCACAGCCAGTGCACACTTTGATATTCTCTTTCTGCACTTGAGAGCGCTGTAATCTCGCGACAATTCTGCGGGGATCCAGAAAAGTCCACGGGATTTGCAACCACAAAGTCAAGTATCTTTTAGCCATTTATAATGATCCTTCCGCAGGTTCACCTATGGAAACCTTGTTACGACTTTTTCTTCCTCTAAGTGCACAAGTTCGAACCTCTTTCCGTCAGACCCAGTTGCGCGAGGCACCGGACGCCAGTCCAAGGTCCTCACAGTCACTAGTTTGACATGCATGGCTTAGCCTTTGAGACAAGCATATGGCAGGATCAACCAGGATGTTGTTTTGCGCACATATGCCACATTTACGTCTCTCTTTCTCTCTGTGTAGCTAATACTCGATTCTCTAGTCATGTCGGACTTTATGGAACCAAGCACGCGTACACACTGTTCCGAAAGAACAGGGCGCTCAAGACTGTCAGGGATATGCACGACACCCTAACAGCCACAGCACACTTTAACACTCTCTTTCTGCACTTGAGAGCGCTGTTATCTCGCGACAATTCTGCGGGATCCAGAAAAGTCCACGGGATTTTCAACCACAAAGTCAAGTATCTTTTAGCCATTTATAATGATCTTTCCGCAGGTTCAGCTACGGAGACATTGTTACTAGTTTTACTTCCTCTAAGTGCACCAGTTCGAACCTCTTTCCGTCAGACCCAGGTGCGCGAGGCACCGGACGCCAGTCCAAGGTTTTCACAGTCATGCATATCCCTGACGCCAGACACTGACTGTGCATGACATGCATGGCTTAGCCTTTGAAACAAGCATATGGCAGGATCAACCAGGATGTTGTTTTCCACACATATGCCACATATACGTCTCTCTCTCTGTGTGTAGCTAATAAGTAACGAGAACGGGCTAATGGGGTTTTGGGGAGAGATTCTGGTTGGTTTGGTTATAACTGGCTAAAAATTGCTACACAGAATTTCATGTATCAAACAATTGGTCGAGCATAAATTAAGATGGTTGTACAGATTTATATTGAAGTCCCACAAAGAATTGTTTTACTAGTTCCGTTTATTTTTGAAAGAACCTCGACTGAGAACAGTTCATTGTAGGTTCGAATGCTATTGAAGGGTGGTCTATAGATGCAAAAGTTAGATAGCTCAAACGCAGGTAAGCAGACATAAACTGAAGAGTTCATACTCATTTTTCACCCAAGATAAATCATTCAATATTAACCCTCGCGCTGAACTTTTCATCCACGTAAGCAGTTATACCTCCCCCATGGCTGTTGCGACAAATACTATACTTGGAAAAACCAGGAATATCAAATTATTATTATTAAAATTATTAAAATACGTAGTTTGAGTTTGGACTCAGCCAGGTTTCCGTTAGAAAAATGATAGTAAATTTAAAATTAAGTGAGCTAAGAAAAACCATGAACTCCATGAATAAGAGAATCATGGTTCAACTCCAAAGAATAAGCTTCGGATCCAGAGAAGTGGAATACCGGAACTACATTGGTTGCAGTTGAGGAAACTGAAAGTAGAAAAAGAGATCTTACTTAATGAATGCCGGAGCTTGAGAAACAAGTTTACCAATTATGCTTAGTTATTCCAACTTAGCCGTACAAAAATTGACAGTGAACGCATCACCCAGTCTAACCTCAAGTGAAACAACGTGTACAGCAGAAAGAATGTCGCGCTGACTGCACTGTAGGCATGAAGCACACGGCAAAAGAGATGCGGCGTACGAGAATATACCGGGGGTTATACTGCAAATTAACAGTTACAAACCAAGATTAGATTGATTAGCAAGTGCTATTGTATCGTATGCAATTAATAATAATGAGGATCAAGATATATGGATCAATTTATTCAAAGTAAAATTAAATATTTCGAGACTAACCTTCTAATTTATTACCGCTGGGGTCAATTTAGAAGTGGCTTGAAAGCCGTTTAGAGGTAGGTGTTTTGACAGTGCAATTGAATGCAATTTTTAGTAAATAAATGTATGGTTGACCCAACTTAGCAAAGTTAATAAGGTTAAAGCGCCACAGGGCGTAAAGTTAAAAGCTCGAAAGCCGGCAATACTGCCAAGTATTAATTAATGCGTCAGAGACGTCTTAAAGGGTTGGGTCAAACCAAAATAGTAACGAGGCATGCATTAACTTTCAAAAAGGCCCATAGCATGCATTAAATCAATAAGATAACAAGAAGTGAATTGCACTCTGGTTACTGTGAGCAATACAGCAGCCAAGCACCTTTAGAGTCACCTCCGTTTCACTTAAGCTGTCAAAAGTTGAGCCTTTAATGCTTCTTTATGTCTCTCGAAATCAATACATAGAATTAGAATCAATTATCACTTTAGAATTAAAATAATTCATCACTTTAGAATTACGTTATTTAGAAAAACTTTCAGTAAATCATTGGGAACGAATATGAAACGTTTTAGAAATTTCGTTGAAATGTAAATGTAATTGAAACTGGATGAATGTCAATTTATAAAGAGGAACTTAGCGAGCGAGCTAAAGGCTCTTCCAGAAGCAGTCATTAAGAGCGGCACAGGCTAATTTAACGACTTACGGCTTCTTAGTGGGAAGAACAGGCCTTCTGGGTGCAGGTGAGGAGTTGTCCAGTTGAAGAACCGGCTAAAGGCTGAGGACTGTCATCTCGCGGAGTAGGAACTACGCAGAACGGACGGGCATAGACCACGCGAGACGACACAGGGACGAGTTGAATGTGTGAAGGTTGAAGTGAATCTCTCTGTTGCCGGCCAGAGATGCAAGATTTCTGCTTTGCTGCAGGGAAAGCCTCGGAAGCAGTGAGAAAAGTCGCAACCAGCCCGGCCGCTAAATGACTGCTTTGAATAAAATTATTAGAATTGACAATAATCACGTTAATATAATAAAGGGTGAAGATTAAATCGTTCTCAATGGTTTACAGAAAGGGATGGACCTATAAAAATGAAGACATATGCACGAAAGTTTGTAAACTTTCCGACACCAGGTGCGCGAGGCACCGGACGCCAGTCCAAGGTTCTCACAGTCACTAGTTTGACATGCATGGCTTAGCCTCTGAAACAAGCATATGGCAGGATCAACCATTCAGTTGTTTTGCACACATATGCCACATATACGTCTCTCACTCTGTGTAGCTAATACTAGATTTTCTAGTCAAGTCGGACTTTATGGAACCAAGCACGCGTACACACTGTTCCGAAATAAGAGAGCGCTCAAGACTGTCAGGGATATGCACGACACCCTAGCAACCAGAGCACACTTTAACACTCTCTTTCTGCACTTGAGAGCGCTGTAATCTCACGACAATTCTGCGAGGATCCAGAAAAATCCACGGGATTTGCAACCACATAGTCAAGTTTTTTTAGCCATTAATAATGATCCTTCCGCAGGTTCATCTACGGAAACCTTGTTACGACTTTTACTTCCTCTAAGTGCACCAGTTCGAACCTCTTTCCGTCAGACCCAGGTGCGCGAGGCACCGGACGCCAGTCCATGGTTCACACAGTCACTAGTTTGACATGCATGGCTTAGCCTTTGAAACAAGCATATGGCAGGATCAACCAGGCAGTTGTTTTGCACACATATGCCACATATACGTCNAAGAGAGACAGCGTGAGATGAGATTCTGCATTCTCCCAACCCACACAAATCTCTCAAAATCCGCGTCCTTTTTCTAGCGTCAAAATCGGTCTTATGCACAACAGACCTTTGACGCCGAACGGTTAAGTACTAGTGGCCACTTGTTTTGCATCGTCGCACGACCGCCTGGTCACACTGTGCGCCACGATGTTATTGAGAGAGATAGACGCAGACACAAAGCAAAGCATATACGTATATATCTCTCTCTGTGTAGCTAATACTTGATTCTCTATAGTCATGTCGGACTTTATGGAACCAAGCACTCGCGTATACACTGTTTCGAAAAGCTCAAAACTGTCAGGGATATGCACAACACCCAGAACAGGCAGAGCTTATGTGATGTGAGGGCCCTAATCCAACTCACAGCTCAGCATTTCAGCACACGGTACACAAAACCGCGACACACTTTCTCAGCATACCACTCGCTGAGAGAGCGCGTCAGGGCCACCTTCCAGAGTATCGTAGCAAAACGGACACCCAGGGATCACAGGAAGGTAGCAAGCGAAACCTTGCTCCGAGCGTGTGTAAGGCTAGCACAGTAGGATCGCCTCGAGCCAAACACACACAACAGAGCACAGGTCCACAGAGCTCAGAGCCAGCCGAGTGGCCGGACGGACAGGAGGGTGACATGAAGATCACGCAAACACACCCTCCAGGAATCGACACCCGGCTTCAAAATTCTTGGGGTCACTTTCCCGGAGGGCACGATTGCTTGGCCAGAGCAAGCAACTCACACCCTGCAGAAATCACCACGGTCACACACCAGATTTCTCGAGCCATCTCAGAGGAGGTCGAATGCTTGGCCAGAGCCACGTTTTCGACCCACCTCATGGTCAGATTTCTCAAGCCACCAACTCCTCTGCCAGAGGAGGGCGACGTTGGTTGGCCGCAGCCGACAATGCACCACCATCAAGCCAAGCTTCCAAAACCACCCATGGCAAGCCTTCCAGATCGCTTGAGTCAACGCGCTCCTGCGGCAAACCCGACTATTGCCACAATCACATGGTCCATTCGAGACACCGCCCCTTGTCTCGTCAAAATTTGAGGGAACTTTGCTGGCCTGCGGCCAGCAAAGCTCAACTCAGGCTCGGAAATCAAGCTGGGCTTGAGCTGAAGCAGTGTCTTATGGTAACACTTCCAGGGTTCGCAGCACAATAAAATCCCGACCGTACGCCTGCGATGAGGCATACGGACCGGGATAGTTGTCGGCTGGGAGCCGACAACTCACACCCTCCAGATCGAAACGATAGGGTACCAGATTTTCTGGGACCAAAAAGATCTCCAGCTCAGACGAGAGGTCAAATACTTGGCCAGAGCAAGCAACTCACCCTCCAGAAATCACCACGGTCAGACACCAGATTTTGAGGTCACTTTCCAAGATGGCACGATTGTTTGGCCCAAGCAGGCAACTCAGCCATAGGGAGCTCGATTGCTTGCACAGGCTCCATGCCCATAAGTCTACGGATGTGACCAGCCCAGAATCACTCCAAGTCACTTTCCCGGAGGGCACGATTGCTTGGCCAGAGCAAGCAACTCACACCCTCCAGAAATCACAACGGTCAGATACCAGATTTCTCAAACCCAGTAACGGAACCTTGCCTGGCTGGACCTAACCTTGAGGTCCCTCGCTTGCACGTGGTCTCTCGTTCCCACGTGATCACTTTTCTGATGGCACGACTTTGCTTGGCCCCAGCAAACAACTAACACCCTCCAAAAATCGACTCCCGGCTTCAAAATTTGTGGGGTCACTTTCCCGGAGGGCACAATTGCTTGGCCGCAGCAAGCAATTCACGCCACTCTGAAATCACCACGGTCACATACCAGATTTCGAGGTCACTTTCCAAGATGGCACGATTGCTTAGCCAGGCCAAGCTACTCACGCCACTCAGAAATCGAATTCCAAAATTTTCGAATCAAACACTTTCGGGGCATGATTTTGCTTGGCCCCAGCAAGCAATTCACGCCCCGCAAGACTCCCAGAGTCTCATCACATTTCTCGTAAAACCGAGTTTTGGATGTCACTTTTCGGAGGGCATGATTTTGCTTGCTGCCAGCAAGCAACTCACACCCTCCAGAACTCACCACGGTCACATACCAGATTTCTCGAGCCACCAAGTGCTCCATCTCAGAGTAGGTCGAATGCTCGGCCAGAGCCGACAAAAAGTTGGCAACTTTGCGAAAAGTCGCCACCAAGCATTTCTCACAAAGCCTAGTTTTTGGGGGTCACTTTCCCAGACGGCACGATTGCTTGGCCAGGCCAAGCAACTCACACCATCCAGAAATCGACATCCAAAATTTTCCATTTTGCCATGCTTCCATCATCAACCATGGCTGGCAGCGTGCCTGTGACAGCACTAGACACCACTGCCAAGGTCTCCACAGAGCTAGACAACCGTCGCCCTCGTCAACGATCGTCCGCCAGGCTGCCTCAGGCAGCACCAGCCATCGGGGCACTGCTGAACCAAGCCAAGTTCAAACAGCGAGGAGAGCGGAAACCATGCTCTCCTAGCGACGTCAAGACACGAGGCAGTCATGGAAAGACTCGGGGAAGCAATCCCAAGAACTTCCATTTCCGACCCCTCAGCCCAGAGGTGACTCCCTATAGAAGTTTCTACAAAATACCATTGCACATACATTTTCCGGTATAGAATTTGCCTGGCCGGGCCAAGCAATCCACCCAAAATGCCCGAATTTTCAGAATTTCGGGCTCCGATTTTTGGAGTCCCGTTTTCAGACGGGTCGATCGATGCTTGGCCGATGCCACGTTTTTGTCACCCCAAAAATTTTGGGACCCCAAAATTTCCTTAGGGTAAAAAGTTGGCAAGATTGCAAAATCCAGAAAAAAGTCGCCACAAAAAATGGGGTAATGTCCCTAGAGAAAATTTCGTGAGGACAATTTTCCTTGGCCGCAGCCACGTTTTTGACCCTTCTTGCCAAATTTTCTCTTAGGGTAACTTTTCCTCAACGGCATGATCTTGCTTGGCCGCAGCAAGCAACTCACACCCTCCAGAAATCGACACCAGGCTTCGAAATTTTTGGGGTCACTTTCCCGGAGGGCACAATTGCTTGGCCGCAGCAAGCAATTCACGCCACTCTGAAATCACCACGGTCACACACCAGATTTCGAGGTCACTTCCCAGGTTGGCACGATAGCTTGGCCAGGCCAAGCAATTCACACCATCCAGAAATCGAATTCCAAAATTTTCGATTTTCGAATCAAACACTTTCGGGGCATGATTTTGCTTGGCCCCAGCAAGCAATTCACGCCCCGCAAGATTCCCAGAGTCTCATGACATTTCTCGGAAAACCGAGTTTTGGATGTCACTTTTCGGAGGGCATGATTTTGCTTGCTGCCAGCAAGCAACTCACACCTCCCCGAAATCACCACGGTCACATACCAGATTTCTCGAGCCACCAAGTGCTCCATCTCAAAGTAGGTCGAATGCTCGGCCAGAGCCGACAAAATGTTTGCAACTTTGCGAAAAGTCGCCACCAAGCATTTCTCACAAAGCCAGGATTTCGGGGTCACTTCCCGGGCGGCACGATTGCTTGGCCCGGCCAAGCAAAACACGCCACTCAGAAATCGACACCCAAAATTTCCCATTTTGCCATGCTTCCATCATCAACCATGGCTGGCCGCGTGTCTGTGACAGCACTAGACACTACCACCAAGGTCTCCACAGAGGTAGACAACCGTTGCACTCGTCAACGATCGTCTGTCAGCACCGATGTCAGTTTCCAGCCGAGTTTTTACGCCAAAACCAGTTTTAGACAGCGTGGGACGGCGTCTCAGCGTGTCCCAGCTATGCTTGAACACGCGGCAGCGTGTCTCAAGCAGCGCCAGACACCACTGCCAAGGTCTACACAGAGCTAGACAACCGTTGCACTCGTCAACGATCGTCTGTCAGGCTGTCTGGGACAGCGGGGCACTGCGGGACCAAGCAAAGTCCCAGCAGCGAGGAGAGCGAAAACCATGCTCTCCTAGAGGTGCCAAGACACGAGGCAGTCATGGGAAGACTCGGGGAAGCAATCCCAAGAACTTCCCAAGATGACCACTCAGAGTCGCCACCTCTCCCTACAGAAGTTTCTACAAAATACCATTGCACGCACAAAATTTTTTATAGAATTTGCCTGGCCAGGCCAAGCAATTGACCCAAAATGCCAAGATGACCACTCAGAGTCGCCACCTCTCCCTACAGAAGTTTCTACAAAATACCATTGCACGTACAGAAAATTTTATAGAATTTGCCTGGCCAGGCCAAGCAATTGACCCAAAATGCCCTAAATTTCGAAATTTTGGACTCCGATTTTTCGAGTGTAATTTTGAAACGGGTCAACACTTGTCGTGTCTGAGCCACGTTTTGACGACCCCCAAAAGTCCATTTTGCCTAAGGGTAGAAAGTTGGCAATATGTCAAAATCCAGAAAAAAGTCGCCACAATTTTTAACGGCAATTTCCCCAGAGCACCATTTTGAGATGGCGTGTTTGCCTGGCCAGAGCCGACGTTTTCGACCCATGTCACCAGATTTCCTTTCAGGGTAGCTTTTCCTCGACGGCATGATTTTGCTTGGCCGCAGCAAGCAACTAACACCCTCCAGAAATCGACGCCCGGCTTCAAAATTTTTGGGGTCACTTTCCCGGAGGATACAATTGCTGGGCCGCAGCAAGCAATTCACGCCACTCTGAAATCACCATGGTCACACACCAGATTTCGAGGTCACTTTCCCAGACGGCACGATTGCTTGGCCAGGCCAAGCAATTCACGCCACTCAGAAATCGACACTGTCAGGTACCAGATTTCTCAAGCCACTTTTAAACGAACATTACCTGACTGGACCTAACCCTGAGGTCCCTCG